GAAAATTCATTAGGCCGTACATACATACAACAGTCGAACTTAACGATTGGTTGCCGTCTTGGTTGAAAAAATAGCCTAAATGAATCGCATTGTGAAATGTTTTCTATGCATGTTGACCAATTTTAATGAGACTTCTTTCCTGTGATGTTTCGTCATGTAACAACCGGTACCACCAAAGCAAATAATTGTTGCCGCTATTTCATAACACGGAGTGAAGGCTTTTTTTTCAATAGATTTTAAAATAGGCGAAAGACAGCGAATACAATTTTTAATTTAGGTTCTAGGTAAAATCTCTTAATGTTGTGGTATATTTATCAAGGTGTGCATTTCATAAAATATTTGCTGACAGAGGGTACAATCGATGTATTTTTCATCTATATTCTTTCCTGCTTAGATGTTTTTAACGTCCTTTCTTGTTTTTGGATGGAAATGTGTTTTGTTTCTTCTCAACCTTCGCTATTTTTATTCTACTAGTATAAAGTGTAGAAACGTCTTTAAATGGTAGTTGGGTTCAAGGTATTGACAGATTTGATTGCCTAAATCAATTAGATTTTAACCACGACATCATATAAACAAACTAAAGTTTGTGCATTAACTCGACCTAAGAAAAATGAGATTTTTTAATGTATAAAATATTTATCAGGAATGCAAAATGTTAAGGAATAATGTTCAGGATTTATGCAGACATCGGTCATTTTTTCAGATAATGCCAGGTAATAAAAAAAAAATAGTTCGAAAATCTAAAAATAATTTATGATTAATAAACAATTCGTTCGAAAATGCATTATTAAGAAAAAATGTTATAAGGGTAAAATAGAAAAATCCTTAAAGATTTTTAAAGAGTACCTGGGTGCTTAAATCAATCTACTTTTATAAAACAATTGCACAATTTAAAAACGTGAAATATTTATTTTGAGGAACATCGCTTTTGCAAATTAAAGCCAACCAAAATTAAGCCCTAGTTAATGATTTAATTGTTAATATATTACAAAATTATTTTAAATACACTAGCAGGAGCGTCAAGAGCACGATTCGTAGATCCCCCCACGAGAAACTGAGCCGGAAACAAGGAATCGTCCTTGCGCGAGTAAGAATAGGCCATACGCGGTTGACACACTTTGGGCCAAAGCCCGCGCAGGTGCCCCTTATGCAGAGAAAGGTTGCTCGATGTGTCCCACATACTGGAAACATGTCATGCCTTGACTCCCTACAGGGAGCGTGTAGGCATGCCATCTAATCTGACAATTGTGAGCACTGCAGCGAGTTTCTGGGTCCCCTGTTCCGCTTTTTGGGAGAAATTGTTTTTTTTTTATTGTATATAATAATGTCTTGTGTGTTGTGTGTCTATATGTTTTGTCTGAGTGCATGTATTTATTAGCGTGAATGGCGAGGGGTGGTATCAAGTACTCCACCGACCAAACGGAATGAGTGTACTGCATGGATGTATTTATGAGTATGAATGTAGTGTTTGAAAGGGTAAATAGAATATAGACTTAGTTGGGGGCTGAAATGACCTAGATGTCGGAAGCCCGTAAAAAAAAAAAAAAAAAAAAAAAAAATAGCAGGAGCAATAATAACAAGAAGCCGAGAGGTACTTGTGGAGGCCCGATTGATGGTCCTCAAGAGAGTCTAAACCGCAGGAGGATCTTAACCCGACTCAGAATAGGGCACACGCGGTTGACACTCGGATATCACTGAATCCGGCATGCAGAGAAGGCATGTTCAATTTTTCACACTTAAAAAAAGACACGAAAGGACTTTGGCTCCATATAGCGAGTAGGGATGCCACTCGATGATTGTGTTCAATCTTTGTGTCCTTTTGTGATTTTTCGAGAAAATTGGGTGTTTCTATACACATAGATCTTTTTTGCAGGTTCATGTTTGTGTTGTACAAGAGCGTTGATGGCGCAATATTAAGTATTTCATCGATCAAATTAGACTTACGTGTAGTTGTTTATTTGTGGAAAGGGTGATGGAGGAATATGGAGTACTCCTACTTGAGTGAATGTTGTGTAAATAATTTAAGAAAGAGTGAGAGTTTGTTTAGGTTAAAACTGCATTCGTTGAGGGCTGACCTTGTCGAAAGCCCCTGGAGCCTAAATACACTCTTCTTCCTTGCTTGCTGCGAGATGTCATAGTTGGATTTTACACGTGAATAGACGTGCATTTATGTGTAGAATTGAACCTATGTAAAATCAATCAATAACAATCGATAAGTTTAATGGAACATTTATTCGTTCAAATAATTTAAGTGTACTGATATAAAATTTGTTTGTTGGAGAATAAGTAGTTTTATTTTCTGAACTTACAGCAAGTTTGTAATTTATGAAGATAATTCAGTATTTTTCGTGGTCTACTTGACCAATTAATATCTTTCAATTAGTTAAGGTTTTAGTTGAAGTAAAAAAGTCAGCGTCACGAGCGGGATTCGAACCCAAGATCTTCAGCTAGATAGGTCGGTGCTCTACCACCTGAGCTATCGCTCGATCCACTCGGACACAACTTCCCATCTTAACCCCACCTTTTGAATTTAGGGAAGTTAGTGTCCAAGTGGATCGAGGTCACGATAGCACAAGTGGTAGAGCAGCGGCGTATCTAGCCAAAGATCGTGGGTTCGAATCCCGCTCGTGACGCTGACTTTTTTATCTCAACTAAAAACCTTAATTAATTTATGAAGATGTTCGACTCTTAAATTTTAATTTAAGTTGAAGTTGAAGGAAGTCTTTGTTGAACCTTAAGGCAAAAAGTCATGTAATGTTCAGTTTTTTTTAGGAACTGTTTATTTATTTATTTTAATTTGGGCGTTCTGAAATTGTTACTTTGCAACTAAACTTATAAAAATTTAATTCGAATTTTTTATATTAATTTTAATTTAATATGGTGGTAAAAATATTTTAAATCTAGAAAGTTGGTTATTTTTTAAACTAAACACACCATTTGTTTCTTCTATTTATTATTGATTCCCTCTTTAGAGCTCACTATTTAGCTAAATACGAAATACATTAACAATTAATTTTGCATAAAAATAAATGGTGTGTTCAGTTAAAAAAAAACTTTCTAGATAGAAAAATTGATTTCTAGTGTCTTGAAAAAGTTGTACAGATAAATCTGTGAGTTGGCCATTACCGATTGAGCAAGGATAAGTTAGGAACTATTGTGTCGTAGAATAATTCTAATTATAATTAATAATTATTTTTTTTATGGTGGATGGGAATAAGAAGTTAATAAAGCGTCGTCTTTCAATCTCATAAATTTTTTTGGGACGTAATCCGGATTTTGGAGTTGTTAACGGTGGGTCGCTGCGTTTCTCCAGGATTTCCCTTTCTGAAAATGGTCGTAAAGCACCCACTTTTCATCCCAAGATATCAATATTTTTTTAAACAATGAGTTAATTGGTAAACTATCCGACAAATATATCTTTTGCCGTTGAGAGTGACAGAAGCTTGAATCTGGTCATCAACAACGGTTTAAAGTCAGCCAGAGCGCTTTGCACCTTCCAAATTAAAATTCGCACTTCTAAAAGAAGCAAACCACGGACGGTGCTTTCTCCTAAAGCGCCGTCGCCTCAAAACATCACAAATTTCCCTAACAATCTGCGGTTTTCTCTTTGCCGTAATAAAGCTTCAATTCAATTCAATTTTCGAATGTGTCAAGGTTTCGTTTGAGGTCTTGTGTCGGTCGAGAAAGGGTTTGGAGAAGAACAGGAGAACGATTTACCCCCGCAACATTTTCTCTTCGGAGAATCTAAGGAGGTGTTATGGTCAGGGCAGGCAGTTCTATGGGATGCCGCACAAACTTGATCTTCATCGAGGGTTCTCTAACATTTACGCGATGTCATCAGAAGAAGTTGTTTCTTATATGCCACTAATTGGCGACGGTTTTGTTTTTATTCATGACTACAGGCCCCTAAGAACGGGCTTCAATTCAACGTTTGGCCAGAATTAGTCCCGAATTAAACGATCACCTTTATGACGAGTTGTCAAAGAAGGTAAAAAGTTTCCCAGTGATGCCAGAGAATTTGCAGGAATTGATAATGGCGTTGTTGAAGGAGTATGAAAATATTTCCTAGCACTACAATCAAAACATAAAATCGATGCTACGTCGAATGCAAGTGGTGATCAGTGTGAAGGTGATAGAGGGATATCGAGTATCCACCACGTTAACTTAGTGAATGGTATGTAAGACAGAATATATTTAAAAATGAGTAAAACTGTGATTGGGTTTGGATTTAAGAACTGATTGTCTTGGGTGCTGAAATGACCTAGAAATTGGTGGACAAGACCGAGGTCTGACCTCCGACTGCCAATACCCGGGGTGGGTCATCCTCGAGGGCTGTCGGTAATTTATCGTAAATTACAAAAGCTGGAATTGCCGGTGGATTGCGACAAGTGATAGGCTCAAATCTGTAAACGTGCGTCTGTGTACGTGCAGATTTGAGGTTATGTAAATCCCCAATCACTTTTATTCTGTTGTTCTCAAGAGGTCTAAAAAATTCTTACAAGAATGTTTTATTTTGTCTAACGTCCGAATTGTCATACTGTACCACACTGTATTCATTTTAGGTTGTTAATGACCAGCATGGAATAAAAATTATAGTCATTACAGTTGTATGAAAGCACAAATCTCCTAGGGTTGACTTTAGAACTTCCCAAGTGCAACCAAGATTGTTTACGATTTTCTCAAGCAGTTTGAGACTTTTAATTAGTGTTTTCCTTATATTCTATTAAAATATAGACAGAGACAAGGAAAACACACCGATGTGACGTGCAAAGGTCGGACGGAGAATATACCAATACTCCAGGTTTTGATTGGAGAAAGAGAGAAGAGGTTGAAGGCCTCTCCCCCTCCAGACGGATCCGGTCCGTTTCCGCGGTTCGGCACTCAGTCTGACGATGTCCTTCTAAAAGTCGGGCCGTTTGAGATTTCCTTTGTGTTTATTACGAATAATAACCCGATATGAAAGTTACCGAGGGTAGTGATGTACCTCTTGTTGGTCGCAGGGGATCCGTGAAAGTGACCATCACGCCATGCCAGCCGAAGACGCTCACCCACCTGCCGAAGAGGCCTCCAGTGGATATCGCCTTCTCCGACCTTACTTACACAGTCAAAGAAGGATCGAAAAAAAGTAAGTTGTTTAATTTTGACCTATTTTAGTCTTATTTACTATATTGTTTAACAAATGTACACTTCATACAGAAGAAAACATAAACAGTTTTTTATGTGTTTTAGCCTACTATAAATAATTATAAATCTACTTTATTTGATATATGAACATAAACACATAGTTTTAACAATATTGTATTTTTTTCTAGGGAAAATATATAAATTATTTCAGAAGTAGTACTCCTGTGTCATGCCATACATGCAAATATTATAGTAAAATAATTATCATTAAATATTTTTATCTAATATCTCCAGATTTTTATTGTCTGGAGGTAGATTTTTTAAAAAATAAAAAGTTCTTTTGTTTGGAACTAAGAGGAAGTGACGTCCTATGGGAAAATATCAAACGTTTGTGTATTGACATGGCCAGAGACTAATTTTCAACACGAAATGGTTTTTTTCCATGGTGTAATTTTATTGTATGGAAGATCCAAAGGCAAAAAATCCAGGAGGGAAAATAAATTATAATAATTAAAATAAATATAATAATAAATTTGTGAATAGGTGTGCGGAATAGAATATTTCTTGACTGACCAGTTTTTATGTTTGTTTATGAAAATTCTTTTTCTACAAATCGTACAGTCTGAATGTTTAAAACACAAATTACACAATTATATAATACGGGAAAATATATCGGTGCTTTAAAAAAAAAATATTCTACTATTCAAGGCGTCCCTTCTGCACAACTTTATTTTATAGTTTTTATGGTTTTTACAATTACAATTACATAAAAAACAAACTATTGTATTATAAAAGCAGAGGTTTTGTTTTTCTAAAGACTAAAAACTAACAACTTATGCGATAATCTTTTGGATATGTTCTAGGCTTTTAATTTTCCGATTAGTTTATGAAGTGATCTGCTAGTTTTGTTTTGAAAAAGATTACCGGGGATTTTCTGCCAGTCTTAAAAGCTTCTACTTTATTGTGTTTGTACGTAATAATTGCGCCAAAAATTGACGTTCACGATATGAAAAGTTTAAAAATGTTTATCATGAGAGGAAAAGCTTAACGTAAATTAGTCACAATTTCAGTAATTAAATAGGAAAATTTTCACTATTTGATTGTATATTGTCTCCAAAGTGAAAATGAGTCGGCAATATTTTCCAGGACAGCTTTCACCAATATTGGCCTAACAAGTCTCACACTTTTCAACTCCTTTAAATTTGAAGCGAGAATAACGAAGAGATTTTTTCGGGGACCAGAATACAAACCGATCATGGGAAAAATTATATAATAACAATTACGAAACTTTCAATATACTACTCATAACAGCTGTAAACAGTGTAAATACGGTAATCAACAGTTTTTACATAACTTTTCCCAACAACATAATCACAAGTAAGGCAATCATGCAAATGATTTTCCTATAAAATTTTTAATCCTAAAGTTGGAGTATCAAGGAAGTTTTCAACATTATTAGTATGATTTGCATTGAAAAAAATTATAAAGTCCGAAATTCGTCCATTTTTCAAACTGGCGGGTCAAAGATTCTGAATTACTAAATTTTATTTGACACAGTGTGGTTGGTTTTTTTTTTCAATTCAAAACTGTCAGGAAATTTTCTCACGTCCAGAATGTTGTCTCGTTGAGACCTAAGTCCACTTCTTATCCGATAAATGTACACATTCATCGTCTAAACAATTTCTAAAATTGATAGAGGCCCGCTTACGACGAAAATCTAAAAAAAATTAATTCTTCTTTATTTTTACTGCATGCTTCGATGCAACAACTAAAATAATATGTACAATAGCGTGGTAGGGTGAACAGCAACCGTCCGGTGATGGAAGTCCTTACAATCAACGAGTGAGATGGACTCCATTCTAAGAGACCGATGGCAAGTAGTGAGGCTGTCGAGGAGCCACGCTTCAGTCGGATTATTGTGGTCTTCCACCCCGAAGGGTTGTCACTCCGCGATGTGCTGACCTAGGGTGTAGACCTCAGAGGAGTTGACCTACGCTAATATCCCTTAAGCCAGATGCCCTAGTCGATTATGCTCCAACGGTTGCTTTGACAGCTAAGTCATTACAGCCCCCAACGCTTGCTAACTAAAATCTAACCTAACACTAACTTCTATAATACAGTCGCACAAATGAATACATTTTCACCTACGTACATCGCGCTCATTCTGATTAGTCGGTGGAATACTCGATAGGGTATACAAGTACATACATACTCGGTTGGAAGGGCGATGGTGTCGCTCTCCATTCGCACTAATAAATACATTCACTCAAAAAAACACAAAACAGATTTATATAAAATTAAAAACCACATTCTCCAAAAAAGGGGAACAGGAGACCCAGAAATTCACTAATGTGCCCAAGAATCATTCTTAAATATGCCATCACGCCTACACGCCTCTATAAGGAGCCAATGCATGACAAGCTTCTACCTTCCTCCGCATAAAGCGCACCTACACGGGCTATTAATGTAACATGGTGGATGACACGTTTTGACGAAAGAGTTCAGAGGATAGGTTGGAATGGATGCTTTTGCAGCCGGATTGGGCTAGTTGAGTAACAAGAGGATCATTATGTCGGCATGGATAGTGTGATTGGAAACATAGGCATTGATTATTGTTCTGAGGATTTTAGATTGAAGGGTTATTCGATTAGTCAGAACGCTTTGCACTCCCCTAAAGTCCCAATTGTTAAATTAAATCCGCAATTTTGCCTCTATATGCCACGGAAAAATTTTTCCAAATAAAATATGTAAAATAAAATTATACTGTTTATATAATTATTATATATAATTAATACTACATTGAAAAATTAACTACATTATCTTCTGTATACATTAATTAATAGATAATTTAAAAAAATTCTTATTTTCCTTATAAATTAAAAAAGAAGCAAGTTTTGATTATTGCATTATTAAGTTCGGCTTTAATTTCCTTAAAAATTTCCACGTTAAATGTTTAAGTCAATTGTTATCTGAAATTTTATATTTTAAAGTTTTTAACTTCACAACGGGGGCGTCGGTGGCCGCAACGGTTTAGGCGTTGACACGGCGCTCATGACTGTAAGGTAAAGGTCCCGGGTTCGAATCCAACGGCCCTGCATTCGAACCCGACATACTTACAAATGGGCTTTTTCCAAAAACACCGGCACCCTAAGGGTTAAAAAAAATTCACTGGAATTAAAGAAAACAGAACTGATGAACAAGAAAAGATACAAAAGCCAGTGGCTGTTCTGTGTGATTCAAAAATAATTGGAAAAAGCTTTTTAATTTAATTTTATTTTTATTAGCAGAATTAAATAACTATTACAATTCGTTAAATAAATATTTGAGAACCCAATGGAAAAGCCCGAAGAACGCCTTGGCATTTGTCTAAACAGCAGCTTCGTGAGAAGAGAAACAATCGAAGAGTTTCTCTGTCCTGTTCATAATAATCAAAATAATCTTTTTGGCGTTATTTTATTATTTATAAGCGGAATTAGGTAAACAACCTATTAATTAAATCTCTAAAACCTCAAACCCCGAAGAAAAAGATGGCAGTTGACAACATAGGAATTTAACGAAAAAATCAAAAAGCTACCGAAGTTTTTCCAGTGTAATTTCAAAAAATCAAAAGAACCTATTTTGACGTTATTTTATTATTTACAAGCGGTAAACATTTTAACCTATGAAATAAATTTTTGAAAAAGCCCACGTGAAGAGTAGATACCGACCAAAGTATTGTTCTGAATGATTAGAAAAAAATACGTAAATTTCTGTTTAGTTGTATTTTATTTTGACTCGAGGCGTTACATAAATGGTATACCCCATTAAATAAGTCTATTTTTACGACGAAGGCCACGGCAGTCGTCAAAATAGTACTTTAAGGGAAGGCAAGGAAGCCAACTTTTTTCTGTTTAATTTAAAAAAAGCACCATTTTGGTGCATTCTTTAAATGCGGCATTAAATAAATATTAGTACATAGTGGTATTTCTGGGTAAGGAACAAACGGGCCAGAAGAAGACCATATTTAGGCCTACCCTGGAATATCAGAAAAGAACGATCTACAAATGGGCCTATAAATCTTTCAAAAATGGCACCATCCTTTGGTGGTAGATGGATCTAGAACACAAGAAGGTACTGGGCAGTATTTGGACCTGGAACCAAATACTCAGAACCCATGGGAAAACACACCAGCATCTTCCAAGCTGAGATTCATGCAATCGAAAGATATACCCAACTCAACCTAAGTAAAGGGTACAAAAACAAGAATGTAGCTATCATGTCAGATAGCCAAGCAGCCATCAAAGCACTAAGCGCAAATATCATTAGTTCAAGGATGGTGCTGAACTGCAAAACCAAACTAAACATATTAGGTACGCAGAATAAAGTCAACAAAGGCAAGGAGCTGCTACACCGCTCATAGGACCTGAACCCTTCTGTGGCATGGGAACTCACACAGACAGAAGGACAAAAAGAAAATTAGGACTTCACTCATTGGACACAGACAATCCAAGAATCTTCTAACCAATTTTGGAAGGAAAGAAATTACAGAATGTGTCAAGGGAAGCAGTGATAAACTGCTTATCCTATCAGAACACTGCAAGTTAAATGGACACTTAAAGAAAATTGGAATAATCCAAGATGGCACATGCAGATTTTGCAAAGAGGCAGAGGAGACACATACTTGCCTCAGGAGGAAATGTTTTGGGATGTATAATGTGACCATAGAAGAGCTTCAACCATTGAAACCGGGCCTATTAATCAAGTTTCTTGATGAAATAGGACTCACCGATGTGCTTAAGGCAGAGCACGGGGGGATACAACAGCTCTTAAAGGGCGCAGTATACTACACTACGAAAATATATCTACATGGGCCTATAAATAACAATAGGAGAACTTGATGAACTGCCAGACCAGTAAACTAATACAACTTCAGTTAGACCGGGTAAAACGTAGGGAGTGATTATGTACCAGTCACTCTTCGAGAAAACACCTTCATATGGTACATGAGTATACTTGACCCAT